GTATCTCATCAAAAACAAGAAAACAAGAAAATTTTGAACATTAAGTGATATTTCTTGTTAAGTAATATAAAATAATTAACGATGAAATTTCTTGAAAATTTTTTCGCTATCCTAAAAAAAAATAGTTTTTTTCCTCAAAATTTTACCAAATTAAAATAAGAATATCATTAAAAAGTATCGTTTCAAGGGGTTATGTTACTAACATATTGTTTATGATTGTATTGAATTTGGTGATTAAAAAATCAACGTAATTCAGAAAACTAGGTAATACAACATGCAATTTATTAATAGTGGATTATTTTTATTAACGATAATTAATATTATCAATTATTATTGTACTGTTTCTTATTTTATTGTCATTAAAAGAAATATTGAAAAGTCAGTTTTTGTTTTGTTCTATTTTTATTTTCTGCGAGTCATTGTTTGCGCCTTTCATTTACGTAAACATGGCTGGTCACATGCTATTGTAAAAAAAATACCCAATACAAGAAAAACATGGTTTGTACATCTCTGTACATACAATACAAGTGTGGTATTGTAACAATACAAAAGCGTGCAATGGCCTTTAAAAAAATAATAGTAAGAAATTATTAAAAAGTGCTTACTGACAATGTATAAAAAAAAAAAAAAAAAAAAAAAAAAACGGTACTAAGTTTTTGACTTGATTCGCAAAGTAATAGCTTTTAAGCAATTAAAGAGTTCTTGTTTTTACAAAAAAGCTTTATAAGTATATAATGCGTACAATGACAGTGTAAAACGTTTTCTTATTACTGATTGTAGTAAATGCGTGTGTGAATGAGAACATTTTGTTGACGTCAAATGAGAGGTGTAATTTGCCTGCCATTAGTCAGTACACTTTAGTGCAGAGATATTCTTACGTTAACTGTATGAAAGAAAAAAATCAATTATTTTTTTTTTTATTGAGCATATAAATAGTAGTTACAAAAATTAACTTGATCGATTCATAAATTCATTTGAAAAACACAATCTCGCTTTTTATCGCTTTTGAAAGCCGTGCATTTGAACTTAATTTTTATAAAATCAAATCAATTTTATTAACACTGATAATCCAATCAATCATGATATTTGTATGTGTGATGAAGTTGTTGAAAATGAAAGAATGAAACGCAGAGTGAAATATTTACGTTTCTAATCATCCCTGATTATAAAATGGTAAATTCTCTGCCTGTTGGGCTACTTCTAGAATGTGATGCTGATAGATTAAAACGTAATAAGAAAAATCTATAAATAACAATAACAATTAATAACGATAATCTGGAAGATATTTGTAAATTGTGAGAATCAGATTACGAGCCCATTGTTATTAACTATTATTAACTGAACTAATATTAGATGATGCAGTTGTAAACTACCGATAACGCTAAAGGTAAGAACAGTAGGGTACAATGGTGAGAAATTAAATACTATATAACGAAACAAATAACAGTTAATCGGTGAAATGAGTAATAATAATAATTAAAAAAAATAGATTTCCAAGAGGCTTAGCATGCACCGCCACTTTAAGGTCACATGCATATTTTTATATATTAAATAGGATTGCGTCGACAGCCGAAATATTTGAACTTGCTTTCCTTTTTTCGACAATCCGTTATTTAACTTTGATTAACGTGCAGGTGTTTTTTCCATCGTGATTGCTCTCTTGACATGATAAATGCTACGAATAGTCATTTTAATGAATGTAACGCGGAAAATTTATAAATATATTACAATTTTCACGTACAATGTTTTATAAATTTTTTCCTTTAATTACAATAAAAATATTTNCAATTATTATTGTACTGTTTCTTATTTTATTGTCATTAAAAGAAATATTGAAAAGTCAGTTTTTGTTTTGTTCTATTTTTATTTTCTGCGAGTCATTGTTTGCGCCTTTCATTTACGTAAACATGGCTGGTCACATGCTATTGTAAAAAAAATACCCAATACAAGAAAAACATGGTTTGTACATCTCTGTACATACAATACAAGTGTGGTATTGTAACAATACAAAAGCGTGCAATGGCCTTTAAAAAAATAATAGTAAGAAATTATTAAAAAGTGCTTACTGACAATGTATAAAAAAAAAAAAAAAAAAAAAAAAATGATAATAGTACATTAGAAATAAGTAGCTGCACAAGCAGTTAACAATTAAACTATTTTACCTTCTGCAAAGTCACTGTTTTTGTTTAGACTTGTACAAGCCAATCTGTATTCTGTAACCAAGCACTCTGCTAAACTTTTCTTTCTGCCTTCTTCAATTGCTTTTTTCGTTACCTTCAAAGCAGTAGGAGACATTTTATTTAACGTTTCTACAACTTTTAACGCCCACTCGGATTTATTTGTCTTGAGTCTATAATAAAAAATTAGGTTTTTTTTGTTTGGTACAAATGATGAAAAATCAAAACAATATTACCTGTTAATAATGTCTTCAACAGTTGGAGCAGAAAAACATTCATTTATTAAATTTAATTGAGAAGCCAAACTAAATTCTTGTTTGACATTATCTGGAGAGTACGGTTTTAGAATTTCATCTACATTAGAATTATTTGCTAGTAGTTCCTGGCTTACATCTTCCAACTTATCAGAGGGGACATAATGAGTTGCAATACCAGCAAGCAATACATCAACACCTATTCATTAAATTAATAGGTATAAAATATTTATTCTTGTTATAAAATAAAGATTGTTTATACCCGTTAATCGGTGTCCAGTCAAGCCTAAATATACTCCAAGTTGTCCTTTTAGCCTGGATAAAAAGTAAGTGCCACCAACGTCTGGAAATAAACCAATTGCCGTTTCTGGCATGGCAAACAACGTTTTCTCAGTTGATATTCTATATTTTCCATGTACAGATAAACCAACTCCTCCTCCCATTGTTATGCCATGAATTAAGGCCACATACGGCTTTTTGTATGTACCAATAAGATGATTCAAACTATTAAAAAAAGTAACTTTACTAGATTAAATGCATCTCAAACTTTTCATAAGAAAAAAAACGACTTTGCTCATTAAATTAAATTACACTGAAAAATAAATCAACTTTCTAGATATTATAAAACATACATGTACTCATTTTTAAAGAAATCTTTCCCCAGCTGGTCACCACCTGGTTGAGCCAAGGCTAAAACTAGAGACTTGACATCACCTCCAGCACAAAACGCTTTATCACCAGTTCCCTTTATAATTACTAAATTTTTTGTCGATTCCCACTCTTTCAGCTTTGGATAAATTTGTTGTACCATGGACAAGTTTAAAGCATTCAAGGCTTTTGGTCTGTTCAGTACAATAATACCACTGCTTCCTACCTATTTCCATGAGTTAATCATAAGTGTTTTTTATATTACATGGCTGTTGGTGATTGTATTAAAAAAATTAAACTTACTTCTTGGAACAGCACACTACTCTCATCAGCTCTGACAGCTGGTGTAATGAAAAAATTTATTCATTAGTGCGACCAACTAATATAGTCGGTAATTCTAATCAGCCGTAGCTTTTACTTTTTTTTTTTAATTACTACAAAATATGTATACTTGTGGGTATCTTATCTTTTACTCAACCATATGTTTGATACCGATAATGAATTACTTTAATAAAACTTAATGTATATACCTGAACTGCTTTGTGCTGAAGAAATCATTCTGGCTAAGCAGCGCACCGGCAATCTACTTGAACACAACATTGTTGATATACGTTTTTGATTCCAGAATTGTACTATATAACAGTGGTTTAATTAGAAACACGCAATGACTCGACAAACTTTCCAGCTGTTTGTTTCAAAATTGAATTTTCTCGGATGCTCTCTATTGAGACTATCGAGTGTATACTTGTATATTGTAGTGATATGGTGAGTTGGTGAGATGGTGAGGTTTCGTCAATTCAAATAGATATAGGTAGGTACTTACTTAAGAGATGAATGTGAGATATGTGTGTCCGCCGCCGCGCGCTCCAAAATATCTTCCACACCGCAGTACGCAATTCCGCATGTAATGCCGAAAATGCGTGCATGCATGGCACACGCACACGCACGTCAAACTCTCAAGTGGATGATTTTAATTATTATGTATTTTTCAACGTTGATGCGCTAACTACTAATCTGTAATCTGTACTTACCTATTATTGAAAATGATAAAATAGAAGCCATTAATCTGTGTGTATGGTCTTTGAATTCCACGAAAGAAAAGTTTTTATTATTCTTATTTGATATAAAAAATAATTAAATTAAAATGAGCTGATTTGTCTCGATAAATAGCCGACTATATTTCATAAAAAAAATTTTCTTCTCTTTGATGATTGGCAACAAAAATAACCCTTTTTAAAAGTTATTATTTGCTATTTTTATTTTATTTATCATTTATTATTATTTAAAGCAGGTCTTGGAATTCCACCAGTAAAAGAGAGATTACATAATTATAAAATTGTGCACATTAATGCACATAAATATAATATGTC